GATCACATCCAAACATTTTCTATCTAAATTCCAAACCAGCAATAATCTTTCGGCATTCAAACCCTATCTGCAAATACATTCATGTGACCAATATCAAACCCTAAAATACAAGCCTTACCCTCCTTCCTAGTGCAAGAAATCCTAGCCAACAAAAAACCTTTACGAATTATGTCATCGCCCACCTTTTCCTTGAGCCCAATTTACTCAAATTCCAAGAGTAAAAAGCATATATGATGACATGATAAACTACAGGCATAAATCCATCTCAAAGAAAATATCAAATGCATATCATACTAGAAGATGAAGAAAAGCGTCACAGGTTATTGTTTTGCAGAAGGAAAGTAGACAATACCACACAAATTTCAAAAAGGACTTGAAAGGAACAAAAATCAAACACTTCCTATAAAAGAAGGATACAAGGTAAAGAATCCGCTTGGTATCTTATAAATGAGAAAGAGAGGTTTGAAGTAGTAAAAGATAACTACCGTCTAGGCATCTACATGACCCTATATTATTGAAAAAAAGATGCATTGACGAGCTTGCAAAAACTAAGCAAAATATGTAAAATAACTATCTGAGATAACAAGTTACTAGTGTAAAATTTATTATTGCAAATTCTTACACATGTAATCAGTAGGCACCTATATGATTGTTTTCCTAAGCTGACATGTAAACAGCTGAATCATCACATTTTAAGTTTAGACAACCATGTTCAAGTTCAGGCAATAATAGCATTTCGATGTAACCAGGTTACAAATGTAAGAAAGAAATATTCCTCACCGACAGGCAAGATAAAGACATGCAGCCTCTACTAGTTCTGATCTGCGCCCCCTGGTGAAATTCCGTTCAAGGCCAATCTTCACAATGCAGATAAAAATAGCTCAAAATATTGAGGAAAAGACAAAAAATACAAGCATTGAAATGAGACTTGGGAAGAACAAAACATACTTCATAAAAGCGTCTAGCAATTTCAACAACTTCATCACTATAATCGTCAAGCTCTAATTGAATCCTCAGACTATTCATATTATCAAAAGCTGTATCACAATGAAATTAAAACCAGAAACAAGATGTTTGTAAGTCAGATTGCAGTAAGCACTTTAATGCTAAGACGTTATTAAACATGACAAGAAACTGAAATAACACATAAAAGTAAATTTAAGCTTGCAATAATATATGTTAAACTGTTTTGAAATCAGAGAGAAATGACCATCCAGCTCAGTTAGTAGAGCACAAGGCTCTTAACCTTGGGGTCGTGGGATCGAGTCCCACGGTGGGCATTTCATAATTTGGAGGTCTCTTACGGAAGCTGCTTTCAACCTGGCGTTGGGGGCAGCCTACTATCCTACCTCCCCTTACCCCATTACCCCATTACATATGGGAACAAGGGTCAGCTAATTTTTTTTTTGTTTTGAAATCAGAGAAACTAGGAAGGGCGAATATGATGAAATGTATCAGTGATCCTTTAGCAAAAATCGGAAACATATAGCTTCTTGCATAGCATAGAAACCATACCTTTATCCAATGTACGCCTACGTGAATCTGAAATATCTTGGACCGACTTCACAAAATTTCCAGACAGTTTGCTCTGGAACAGAGTGAAAATAGCAATAGAAATCAATAGAAACATAAGTCAAAAACATGAAAGCACAGATCAAGTGATAAACAAAAAGTAAAATAAAAATAAATAAAGAGTAATAAAACTTGAACTCCCCAGGTCAACACACTTCACTCCATTAAAGCACATCCGACAATAACATTAGCCAGAATGTTTCTTCTTTTGTTTAATCGCATATTCACCCAGACAATTTCATGGTTAGGAAACTACGAATAGCTGAAAACAATGAATTTTGCACGAAATTTACGACAGTACATATCAATTTGCTTAAACCTATATCACAAGTATTCTGCTAAATTTTAGCAGAAAGATTACCTGGCCAGCTGAATCTTTAACGAATTGAGGTTCAGTTGCATAATTGTATTCTTCCAACACCTTCCCGCAAAAATTACAACATCTATAGAAATAAATAATGAAAATAAATAATGAAACAAGAAATTCGAAATTTTCTTCGGGAAAACCATCAGTGTTTATGAGCAAGAAAATCACTTACAAAACACCTTCATTGAGGCGTTCTCCAGCAACGTTTCTAGAACAACTGGAACAGAAAACCATCCTCCTTATTTACGAATTTTAAAAAATAGCGCTAATCTTTTTGCTTCTTCCCTTTTCTGAGCAACGAAATAAAGTTTTCAAATGAAATCAAGATAGTAATAAATTAATAATACGGATAATTTACATCAAAAGAGATTAATATCATAATAATACTTGGAAGAAGAGATTTAAAGAAGGAAAAAAATGAAGAAATAGGAGGTTGAGAAGCAGAGGGGAAGTGAGTCACTGAGTTAGAAGTCGGGGGAACGGGTAAGAGATGTCGTTAGGGTTCAGGATTAGGGCTTAGGAGAACAGTAATTTTAAGAAAAAGAAATTGCTAAATTTTCTGAAATTTGGAGCCGTTAACACTGAAGACGCGCGTGTCTTTAGTTAACTAACGTGGGAGTGGAAGAAATAGGTTAGTTTTTACTACTTTTATCCTAATCAAAATATCAATTTGAACGCGCGATAAGACATCGTTTTTAAAATTAAAAAAAATCTAAAAATTACTTTTTAATATGGTACCTATTTTTAATTAACTAAAAATTCTATCATGTTCTACGAATATTTATAATTATCACTAACGATGAATATTATTAATTTAATTTATAAAATTTAAAATCTTAAAAGGTTGAACTTATAATTATAAATTAGTTAAAAAATTAAATATAATTTATTTAAAATAAAAGTTAAATTATATCAGTGATCACTTAATTATTATCTATTTTTATTTTAAACATCATTTTTTTAAAAAAATCAATCAGGTCACTCAACTATTAAATGCATTCAATTAAGTCATTTGTCGCTAATATTTAACAGAGAAGATGATGTGGTAATTACAATATTTGATATAATTACACATTTATCACTGTTATTTATATATTCTATCAATTTGATCTTAATTTTAATAAATTAAAATAAATTTAACCCTTGAATCAAATAATGACATGTGTCACTGACGCCAAATGTAATGACATATGTTACCATCCTCCTATTTCTCTTATGATAATTTAGCCAAGAATGAAACTGGAAAAAAAATCACCAATTTCTTTATAACATCGTTTTATCGAAATTGGTTGAAATAGTGCGACAATTAATAACCATTAAAAGAAAGCTTTAGATTAAGAAAATAGCATCGAAGTTTCTAACATTCAAATCCTTTCAACAACACGATATGAAAAATTCCAGCTCAGCAAAACAAAATCGACATGCAAAACAAACACAAATTTCAAAAATCAACATGCAAAACAAAATCCAAATCTCGAAATACGCCATGCTTTCTAATCAATACGGAAGATCCTAAATTTACATCAAAATCTACCGAAATTCAAATTCTTACTATTTGACATCAGTAATATTAATGGCACTAGGATTAAATAGATAGAATATATATAATGACAGTGATCAAATGAGTAGTTATATCAAATATCTTAATTGTCACATTAATTTTTTGTTAAATATTAATGACAAATGATTTAATTAAATACATTTAAATAGTTAAGTGATATAATTGATAAAATTTTAAAAATTGTGGTCAAAATTAAAAGAGACAATAATTAAGTGGTCAGTGATATAGTTTATCCTTTATTTTAAATAATTTACTTTTAAATTTTTAACTAATTTATAATTATATATTAAGTATTTCATAATTTTAAAATTTTATAAATTAAATTAATGATGCTCATCGTTATGATGTTCATCGGTGTTTGCCAAGCATGTCAGACTAATCTTAGACTTTAAAATAGTATTTATTTTGAAATTTAGTTTACCTTTAATGAATATCAGTATTTAGAAGATTACTTTTACCATTATTTATCTCCTACAAAAATTGTTTTTATTTATAGGTTTAATGTAAAATAAGTGTTCAAATTATATTATTTTTTCATTTAAATATAAATTATTTTCTGGTCAATTCAGATGTCTAATGTTACAAATGATATCATTTTCAATATCTGACTATAATGATTGTTAAAAAATTTCGTAACACATGTTGTATTTTAGTAATTTTGAAGATTTTATTTCGTAACACATGTCGCATTTAAGCGAAATTTTTTAACAGTTGTTACAATCGAGACACTTAAAGTGTTAACGTTTGTAATGTTAAATACATTAATCGACTGAAAAATGTTTAGACAACTAAATAGAAAAAAACGATGCAGTTTAGACACTTATTTATTTTAGCGTAGGATTATTGATAAGGTAAGATTTTAATTTTTTTTAAACAAACAAACAAAATGATTTGATTAATTAAAAGTTTTTATACAAACGAACAAGATGATTCGATTAAATTTTACTACATCTGCCACCCTGGGTTTCGATGTCACATGCCATTGCTTTCGATCAGCTTCTTTCGGCGACTACGGTCACATCTTGATCAAATTATGTATATTTTTGTCCAACATGGTCTCCGTAGATTGTAGTAGTCTACCTTAGTGATCCAATGATGCCAAAGTGAAAGGATCATTGCTCAATGAATATCAGATTTTTTTATTAATCTGAATGATTATAAGATAGTATTTGTTTTAAAAAAACTCTCAATCATTTGACAACGAACGCTCATACAAATCTACAGAGCCATGTTCAAACTCAACACTTCAAAAGATAACAAATATACATTTAACCACTGATGTCGCTTTGTTCATACTCAATGGATAAACATTACTCCGGAAAAAATAGGCCGATCTTCTCCAATAGTTCATATCGACTAAGGTTGGGTTTGGCATCTTGATGTTGGATCTTCTTTGCCTGCGATTCGTTTAATGTGCAGGTCCAAATATAATTATAAACGACAGTGCACTGGCATATGTAATTGACAGATCTTAAAACGAAAGCAAACATGGTTAGAAAATGGCATGAATCAAATTACATTGTTGAATTTCTTTTATCACGGCTTACATGACTAGAAGAAATGAAATTCCAATGCGTAAATGATACATATAAAGGGCTAGAGCAAATTTTCCGAGGAGAGGTAAGGAGGCCAACGGCAAATTATTTGGGTCCTAGATGACCTCGGCCACCGCATTCCAAGCACATAATATTGCCAGTTCCTCCACAACCTGAACAGTAACGAAATTTATACTTCAGTACATCATATTAGCAGGCATATAAACATAACGGAAAAACCGTACTTAAAAAAAGATCCGCCACATGAAACCCAAAGCTTAATCCAATTGATGTATATAACGAACAAAATCTGGGATTAAAACCAAAGCTTTAATCCCAAAGCTTAGTCCAGTTGATCCATGCTGTCACATTTTCTAAGTCACATTGTATCCAATGTGTGTCATCCCTTACCATATTTCCAGACTTTGATTAAAACAATTTAACCTGGAGCTTTATCCAGCTGATTCATGCAGCTACCTTTTAAGAGGTGACAACTAACAGGTTTTTGGGGTTTGAATCCAATATCATCGATCCTTCCCTTATTCCAAAATTGTGACCTCCTTTGTTACAAAAATAAAAATCTCAGGACTCGTGATGCTAAGAGTTCAAAATACTTGAGTGGCCCTCAATGCAATAACAATGACAACGGGAGTTCACAAATAATTGTATTCTACAAATGTCTTTCGTGATTGGACAAAACTAAGAAACAAGAACCAAAATTACAGTGTTGATAGGTAGAGTAGTCGAGCCAATTCATGTGCACCTACTTTAACATAGGTCGGACTGTTCGATTTGCTAATGTAAAATCACAATGTATTTCACCAAGAAGCACTGAATTTTATTTCATGATATTTGCATACCACGGCAGCAAGCAGGGGAAGCTTTAAGACAAGAAATGACCTATAAAGAGCAAATGCTCAAAAATACTTTGAATTTTAGTTATTCTAGAAGCATCATAGTAAATCCTAATTTAATCATTTCATCAAGGATAATTCCTATAATAAACAGGATTTAAGGGTTGTATTTAGAGCCACATCTGTTTGTCATGCAGAATCGGGTCCATAGCAATATCATTCAAGTACACATGTAGGAAATTAACAGCATAAAAATGCATTTAGGAAAATAAAAATCATTGAAGAAGCATTAACTTTACCTAGACAGCGGACTTCGACAATGATACCCTGGCTCTCCAATATCGAGTCCACATATAATCCACACCCAGAGCAAGTGGTACAAAGGACAGCGCCTTTAGCCTGACAACCCGTGCAACGGGGATTATCTCCAACTATTTTTTCAGCCAAAGATACCCCAACTGGTTCTTCAATTCGTTCCTCAGGCATAGGTTTATCATAACAAAATAGTGATTCAAGACTGCTTCTTCGTCTTTGTGCATCCCCCGCTGACCTTGACTCATCCTGTAACATCAAAATTCACCATTTCAAATATAAACTTCATAAGCATCTTATTTTGAAGGTGTATCAGAACTGGTATTAGTCAGACAACCCAACTGGACAATTATCTTAACAATACCGGGTATCAAAACAATCACAAGAAAGCAATCTGGTATTGATATTCGATGAGCCTAATGTTGGATCTCTCCTTAATTGGAGAGGTTCTAGAAAATTCTAAAGCTTTCTAGAGAAGTGTAGAATTTTCTAGAACATTCCGGAGAACTCTAGAGAAGTGTAGAACTCTCTAGAAGCTTGTGCAAGAGTATGAAATCCTCTGGAATATTCTGGAGATTCGTGGAACCTTGTGGAAGAGTATGGAAGAATAAGGAAGAGAGTGGAAGAGTGTAGAGCTTCCTAGGGTGTGTGGAGCATTCTAGATAATTAATCTCTATTATTCATTTTAGAGGTGGAGTAGTATAAATAGGGGTGAGAGAATTCATTCCTACCATCCAAGAAATCCAAGAGTTCCAAAAATATTAAGAGAGTTAGAGAGCTTGTTTGAGAGAGAAGAGAGATAGCTTGGGAAGTCTTTATCCTCAAGCTTGAGTGAGCCACCAAGTGTGAGTAAAATTTTGTGAACACATCCTTGTAATCCTACTATTCTTTTGTATAGTGGAAGAATCTCCAAATTGGAGAATTATACTCTTGTGCTTTCATTACTATCCTTAATCTCTAAGTGTCTATCTTAACTTCACGAAGCAAGAAAGATCGTGATTCCCAACACCTAATTGATGCACTATGATAAAAACAAAATAAACAAAGATTTCCAAACAATCGAGGGTTTATTTGTTTGGTACGATTGCTACTTGCATTTTACCACCATTCATATTTTATTCCTTGTAAAATCTTCTAGAAAACAAAAGAAAACAATCAAAATAAAATTCAAAAGTTGATTAAAAATTAACACAATACTAAAATGTAACACGATTTCTAATATAGTTGTATACAAAAGTAAAAAAAACAAACTTCTCTATCTGATTTCTTAACTTTACTTTTGGTTTTTACCTTTTTAATTCAAACTCGAGCGTGAGTGTCGAATACATATATGCGGGTATATGTCTAACACAGTTTTGTTTAATTTTTCAAAGATTTTCATGTTTTTTGAATAACCAAGAGTCGAAGCAACATAGGCTTTTACTCCAGAGACATAGAACACAAGTAGCAAATGCAAGATCCAGACTGTACATAAGTTTATGCAAATTTTCAGTGGCCATTGTAAGAGTTTCTAAAGGTTAATGAAGATTAAATAATAGCGCCATTATACTTCTTAAAGCTTTTCTTAATGGATAGAAATGGATAAATTTAAAGTCAAACACTTCACAAGTAGAACTAGATCAAATAAACAACCCAGACGAGGAAAAAAATATTAGCCAAAAAATTCGCATATAATAGTAGCAACTTTGAGAATAAAATATTCACTGTAATTCAAACAGCAGAAAACGAAAGAACTTGAAATTTAAAAAAAGGGTTCATTTACATTATATAGTTTCTCAAATAAGAAAATTAAATGAACACGTCGTAGTTAATATGAATATGCATAAAAATTACATAAGAAAAGGGTTAAAATAAAGAAATGTAGCTAAACTAACCTCATGAGAAGATGATGATGAAACAGGGACACTGGAACGAACTGCGTATATTTTAGAAATCCAGTTGCATCCACTAGATCCAAAACCATAAGAAATTTTGTTAAATTTTTTCAGTTTCGGTGTTGAATTTATGGGAAATATTATTGGAGATGGAACTCTCATGGAAGACTCCATTATATCCCAAATTTCAAACAACAAATAATAATCTTACTGTTTAGAAAAACACACAAAAGTGAATTTCTTCGATGAAAACTAGGGGACTGGATAATTGGGTTTTTTAAGTAAATTAGAAACCTTTGAAGAGAGCTACAAAAAAAATCGAAGAACTGTGGGTTTTCTTGGTGCCTCTCGTTTTTAACGATGTTTGGTGGGAAAAGATGTTGGATTTATCCCCTTTTTCTATATGGGTCGGTTGTCTGGTAAGTTAAAAAACGGCTTCCTCGTGTAGAGCAGTGGGAAAAAATTCTCCGTATAATATCCTCATGATATCATTTTCTGAAATAAGAATTTTGTTGCAGTATAAAGAGAATAACATTAGGAAAATGGTGCGACTTTAATTTTTCGGTAGAAGACATATAGATTACTGTATCTTTAGTTTTACCAAGATTAAAGACTCATAGCAGTCTTTAGTTTCTAAAGGAACTGTAGCAATTACTCTATTCTGAAAAATAATGCTTGAAGTGGATTATTTTGAGGGAAAGTTGAAAAAATTATTTTAGCCATTATCCCGTTAAAAAAACAGGGAAATGGTTGAAATAATGCCTTTAAAACAAATATTTATCAAAGTAATCTACCTCTAACATTATTTTTCAGACTAGGCTAAATGATACAATACTTTTGAAGACTCCAAGAGTACACAAACTTCACTTGAAGACTCTAAGATTACTATACGTTTTTAGTTTTGACAAAATTGAAAACGCATGGATTACTATACGTTTTTTACCCAAAAAATTAAGGTCGCACGATATTCCTAACGTCTTCTCCTTACACTGTAACATAGCAATCACCCCAGATTGAGAAATAATATGACGAAAACCTTATATGGGAATTTTTTTCCCACTGCTCTACATGAGCAAAGAATCCATTAGAAAACACAGAAAATTGAGAAAAAAAATATTTTGTATACAAATAAAAAATGAGATGATTTGCAAGAATTGAGTGAACTTGGTAAAGGAATTGTTGTTATTCCTTGAGGTCTCGAGTTCGAACATTAAAAATACTAGAGGAGTGAGCCTTGGCTTAAGGTCAGTTTGGCATAACTTTTGAAAAATTTAAAAGTGTTGTACAAAAATGCAGTTTAAAACTTAAATGTTTGTGATTAATGTTAAAAGGTAAGTTTGAAAATATAAAATATCCATTATATACGTTATGTTGTAAATTAAAAATATATCATTTAATTTATATATACACCTAAGAATCATATCAATTTAAACTATAATAAATTAAAAAGTATATTATTATATATGTATCAATTTAAACTATAATAAAAATATAAAAATACAAATAAAAATATAATTATAATAAATAAATTTTAAATAATTCACTATCTTTATTTTAATATATAAATCATGAATTTATTAAACTAGAAGATATGATATCTCTTATTAGTGCTTACAAATTAAAGTGAATTTATTAAACTATAAGTTATGGTATCTCTCATTAGTTCCATTTCATAACGAGATGAAGTGTTCAATTATTCCAATTCAACTATAATCACTCATTTAAAATTTAAAATAACATAATTTAAATGATATATTTATCCTTTTAACCATTCAATATATATATATATATATACATTATAAATAAATTCAAAATAAATTATTATTATTATTATAAAATATATCAATTTAAACTAAAATAAATATATAAAAAATAAAAATATATAATTATAATAAAAATATATTTTATAATAATCATTATTAATATTTTAATATACAAACCTTGAATTTTATTTATTTCTAAATAATTAAAATAAATTATTAATTAATAAATTATTTTTAAAAATGTTCGTATTAAATTACTAAAATAAAATGTAAATATATAATTGAGTGGAATTCATGCATTAGTAAGTGTAAAAATATAATTTGCTCAATATATGAAAATAAAAAAGCTATTAAAATGAGCTTTTGTAATTGGTTTGAAACCACCGTTTTCACTTCATTTTTTTTCAATTTTTTTTTGTTTAACATTGATTTTGCGATTAAAATGAGCTCTTTAACTAAAAGTGTTTTTCAAAAACATTATCAAACGGACCCTTAAACACAATATGGGTTTTGATTTAAGCTGTTGTAGTGATTTGAATGTATTGATTTTGAATAAATTCGATAAAATAGAGATCAATTGTTTAGAGGCTAGAAACTTGAAAGATGAGGAGGAGATTGATTAAAAATATATATTAAAGGTCCAAATTAAATTTTTAATTATAGTTTAGCTTTTAAACGGGATATTAACCCTTTTTGTTAACGTCATCAACTTGAAAGTGGTGATTATTTTGCAATTTATTAAAAACTTTAGTGATTATAACATAGTTTTTAAAATTGTAATGATCAAAATAGAACTTTGTTAAAACTTGAGTGACCATGAGTGTGTAATTTATTCTTTTATTTACGTAAATAAAGGGTAAATTATATCAGTAACCACCTAACTATAGCCTTTTTTAATTTTGACTATCATTTTTGAAATATTGTCAATCAGACCACTCAATTATTTAAATAAATTTAATCAAATCACTTTCCGTTAACATTTAACGACAGTTAATAAAATTAATATAATTATATAATTGATCCTCAATATTTATACATTCTATTAATTTGGTCATAAATTTAATTCAATTTAATAAAAAGAATAGTATCAATCTGAAAGTTTAATGAGTAAATTGAAAAATTTTAAAGTTCAGTGAGAAAATAGGAGAGAATAGAAATTTAAGTGATGCTTTATGTAGTCTATCCCAATTAAAAAGAATAGAAAGTTAAGTGACCCGAATCACCGCAATTCAATCATCTGTCTTCTCTAGCTATCTCCTACCTCCTTTTCTAGCCATCTCCTACCTCATTCTCCCACTGCTTCATCCCACCATATTATTTTCCTTCCCCAAACAAATGAATCAAATGGGTTTCACCATATCATTATGTTAAATCAAAATTCTCTTTTATTCTATGATTTTTTCAATCCACGTAAAACGAAGGATGCAACCACTCCAGTACAGTGGTTTCATACTTTCATTTTTATCTGGTTTTTGACTCCTCGTCTCCTCCCATGTTTCCTCTTTGGCCTCCACTCTTTAATCGTTTATTTTCTCACGGGCCACGACTGAAGTTTGGTCGATTGAGCACATCTCTTTCTCTTTGGCATCCCCTGCTTCTACTTGTTCTTTTTTTTGAAGTCACAGTTGAATAACGGGGATAGCATCCCGTTATCGACTCTATTTACTGTAAAATGCTAAATTGCGGCCGTGACGAACCACTATTGGTGTGAATCTGTTACCCACCGCAAAAATCATGAAAACCGGTTTCGGACGGCGGCACTACCGCAATATCACAGTCGTTATTGCGTTTTTTGTCCGCAATTTGAAACCCTGGTTTGGAGAGTCGAACATTGAGATTAGGCAAATGTGTAAGCAATTTAAACACTAAACCAATATACATAATTAAATTAATTATTTTAACTTAATTAATAATTTAAGCTTTTATTAAAAAATAAATTATAAATTAATTTTTTTAATAAATTTAAGATATGAATCTATTAAGACTATTATAATTTTTTTATCATTACTGAGACTGTATGTGGATGTTTTTAGCTTTCAAGTAGTATGCATGAACATTATTTATACCCCGATTATAAGAATGGATAGCTTGCTTATCGTTTTTATATATATATAAAGTTATTATAGTGTTCGAGTCTAGAATTAAATGTTCTCTTATTTATTGTACTACAAATAGATAAATCATAGAGAGTAACTCAAATAAAAAAAATTATAATTTTAAAAAATTAATTATAACTTTATAATTTTATTTTTATTTTCAAATCTCGTATTCAATTACTTTTACCATTAACGATATTTAAAAGTATATAAAATAAATTGTAATTTGTGCTAAGATATATATAGTTTGTTCAGTATTTATATAATATATAAAGAATTCTTCAATTTGATACTGCCGGTCGAGTGGTTTGGACGCGCGTCCACCAACCGTAATTGTTCCAAGATCGAAGCTCAACAACATTTCTCTTTGTTAGTGTTTCTCTTCCTCTTTCCCGCCACTTCCCGTCTTCTTTCTTTGTTTCTATCTCACTGAGATTACTTAGAGTTACCAATTGTTTTCCAATTTTTTTTTTAAAGATGTTGTGGGTTGACAAATACCGACCCAAAACCCTTGACCGAGCTATGGTTCATGAGGAGATTGCCACTAATCTCAAGAAACTGGTACCCATTTTTTCTTCACTTCAAACGAATTTTTTTGTTTATTTTTAATGCATAATTTTTTTCCATTTCTGTTTTTAATTGTTTCAGTTTCATGGGTTTGTTTTTATATTTTTTATTTAGACAGGTTGCAGAGCAGGATTGCCCTCATTTACTCTTCTATGGACCATCTGGGCCTGGCAAGAAAACCATAATTATGACTCTTCTCAGACGGATCTTCGGTCCTTCTGCTGAAAAGGTCTATTTTTTCCATTTGTTTTTTTAACCTTTTGAATCGATTCATAATGTTTTTATTTATAATTTTTAATGGAGAGGTACAGTGCTTCTTTCCGTCTAATTTTGTGCTGTAATAGTTCTTCAAATGTCACTGAGGCAATTCGGTCTCGTTGTCTGAATATTCGAGTAAATGCTCCTTCCGAAGAACAGGTCGGCAGTGTTTGCTTTTTGTCTTTTATTATTATTATTATTATTATAAATATGTGAAAAGATGAATAAATAAATTCCAGGGAACGTTCCTTCAAATCTTTTTCCTCAAACCCTTTTAGGGGTTTTTCCTTCAACTCTGCCCTTAATGATGTTTCTATGCATATTTTCATGAAGAATCTTTGATCTCTCAATATGTCTTCTTATTGGTGAATTAAACTTTATTTCTGTAAAACTCTCTACGCCAGATCATTAAGGTGCTAGAGTTCATATTAAAAAAGAAAGAAGGATTGCAACTTCCATTTGGTTTTGCAGCTCGCATTGCCAAAAAATCAAACAGGAGTTTAAGGAGAGCTATGTTGTCATTTGAGACTTACCGTGTTCAACAGTTAAGCTCGGTGTTATCAATTATGGATTAATACTGGCATCATGCAAATTGGCAAGAAACTTCCTTACACATGTTTTATTTTTTTGTACTATATAGGTACCCTTTCACAAACACCCAAACAATTCCGCCAATGGATTGGGAGGAATATATATATGAAATAGCAACTGATATAATGAAGGAGCAAAGCCCTAAAAGGTTCCGACTGGAGTATCATACACTATCTTATTATTGTTGCAATAGTTAATATTTCTTTCAGTTCATTTGGTTAACAAGTTGGTTATGTGATTACTTATGGGCTTATGGCTAGTTCCTATAGGAAAGATGTACGGGTAGGATTAGTAGAAGTTAATTGAAATGCAAACTGCCCTTTATTTTATGGTATCTTTTTGAGTATCTGTCTTCTTGAATTTCTTATCAAACCTTTTTTTTGTTCTTTAGGTTGTTTCAGGTTCGAGGAAAGGTGTATGAATTGCTTATTAATTGTATTCCTCCTGAGATGACCCTGAAGGTAAATACAGACCCATTTTCATGTTGCACTCTGATACCTCCTTGAATTAAAGTTTACTTGCTTTCTGACTCAGAGGCTCCTTCATGAGTTATTGAAGAAATTGGATGCAGAGCTAAAACATGAGGTGTGCCATTGGGCCGCATATTATGTAAGTTCAATAGTCTATCCTATTCCAGGCAGTAAGTGTTAACATTCTCTGACCAACATTAAGTTGTGGCTGACTATTAGGTGTTTCATCAAAATTGTCAACTAGCAATTGACCTTGATTCACAGCTCAATGCTTTGGCCTTAAAACGAAACCAATCTTTCGAAAACTTACAGATTTCCTTTTATTTTGCAAACCCCCAGATGAAAAGATGGAAGGAATAAAGGCTGTACATTGGTCAAAATAATACTATCAATTAATTACATTAAAATATATGAATTCTTTGAGCAGAGTTTTGTGTAAAATGATTTCTTCTTGGATAATTTGAAGATGTCATGCCAATCAATAGCAGCAGATAAAGAGCTAGTAGTGAGACCACTGGTAGAAATTTTCAATTAATGGTGGCATTAGTGATAATCCTAGAGTAATATAGTAAAATATCCACGTATGCTGGTCGTGAGTTAAGATATTTTCAGGGTGATAATAAGATCTGATCTGATGCTTCAATTTACAGGCTGCTGAAAGCCACTAGGCATTCCCCTGCTTAAAAATAAAACATTATTGCTGAATTTAGTGCTAGCTTGATTTTTTTCTGTACTAATAATTCGGTCTGACAATTTCTTTTTATTTAACAGGAGCATAGGATGCATCTCGGACAGAAAGCCATCTTTCATATTGAAGGTAACCAGAACTTTCAACTTTTTATTAGATTGAGTTAGCTAGCTCAAATTATGAAATGACGTGTTCTTATTGGGAATATGAAATGTTTTGAACTGAAGACACGTTCCTCCATTGTGTTTGAATGAATTTCTTAGTGGATGTTGAATGAAGATGGATATGCGGTCATGGAAAGACTCGATTAAGTTTCGAAAGTGTCTTGAGCAAGTGATTATGGATTATCTTTGGTTTGATGCTAATTCCTCCATTCTTTCATTGATATTGACCTATATTTATATTCCGTTGATCATGGAAAGACGATGTGGGTTGTCACTCGTAGAAAAGAAATTTTTATTCCATTGTGCTTAACTATGTTACTGTGACTCTTCATTTTTTTTTAAATACCTGTATCTGGACATGAGTATGACGATATAACCATCCAAATGCTTGGAAGAAAAAAAACTTTAAAAAAATGAAGATGCTTGTGCTAGACACCTACTCATATGTCCGAATAACATAAGTGCCTAAGCTTTGAAATTATGTGAGTTGGTTGTTTTCTTAAAAATCACACTGCCTATTCTGAACCCGATATCTTAGAGATATCAAGATGACAATATTTGGCAGATCTAATTACCCGCTGAAATATTCAAATTAATATGTTTCCCTTTGTTCTGACATGTTTCTTCTTTCAATGTTTCCAGCTTTTGCTAATCAAATTCATTAATATGTTTTCTGGATTAATTTTGTAGCATTTGTTGCCAGGTTCATGAGCATTTACAAGGCCTTCCTGATTGCAACATTTGGCTGAAGAACGAACAAGCAATCGTCTTTTTTATCTTTTATCGGTGGCAAGAATGCTTTGTTTTCCGGATTCTGATTGTAAGTTTCCAGCAACGCTTTGTGTAGTCAGCTTGTGATTTCGTTTTTGAACTATGCATGGTCTGTTAGGGGTTCTTGTAATGATTAGTGAACAAAACCATAAATTTCACTTGCAGCAGTCTTTTCTACTTAATGGTACGTTTCATCTGTTGGATCGACTGTTATGCTATTGGATTTTAATTTTTTTTTCCTAGACTGTTTTCTATTTCCATAAACAAGAATAGAAAATTAATTGAGTTTGGTGAATACAGCTCATTGGGATGGGTTTGGGATGTTCAGCTTAGAAGGAATTTGAATGATTGGGAATGTGAACAGTGGTCTAATCTTTTTGCAGTTATTTCGAATTTCTCACTGTCCTTGGATTCTTCTGATGGGCTGTTTTGGAAAGGCACTGGGGATGGGGTGTATTCTGTTAAATCTTGTGTTATTGTTCTTCGGGTTCTATGGGTTTGGAGGAGATCAGTTTCTGGAAGAACATAATATGGAGGGGTCTGCTGCCTCCAAAAGTGGAGACATTTATGTGGCAAGTAGTTCATCACAAGCTGGCAGTGAAGACAAAATTATGCAAAAGAGGAGTTCAGGGTATTGAAGATGTGTTATGCCCTCTCTGTAAGATGATGGAAGAGTCGCTTGTTTTTCACTTGTTTTTCTCTTGTTCGGTTGTGTGGTCTCTATGGAATAAACTTATGAAGTATTGGAGGATTAATTCTGTTTTTCATTATAATGCTAAAATCTTCCTCCTAGCCTGGGATGACTTGAATATAAATTCAGCTATTTGGCGATTTATTCCAGGGGTTGTCCTTCGGACCACTTGGAAAATTAGGAATTCTATTGTGTTCAAAGGGGGGAAGTTTGATCAAGCAGGATTCTTCTTAGCAAGGTTTAGGCTTGCTTCATTGTTTTTAGCTAAGTTCAAAGACGCTTCTATCTCTAAGGATTTACTAATATCGGATCCTTCCTTGGGGGATTCTTGTTGTTTGCACCCTAAACCGATTGTTTCCAAGTTCCCTTGGTGTCTTCCTCCCAAGGGTTTTATTAAATTAAATGTTGATGCTGCTACTACAAGTGATTGGAAAAGAAGTGGCTTGGGAGGAGTTTTAAAAGACGTTATTGGTTCGATCTTAGGCTCTTTTAAGGAGTCTGCTGGTTCGGGGCCTCCTACCTTGATAGAATTAAAAGCTATTCAAAAGGGCTTATCGTTTTTTGACACATTTCGAGATCTGATCAAGGATCGTTTGATCATTGAGAGTGATAGCAAGGTGGCAGTCGATTGGATTAAGAAATTTGAAATATGCCCAACCGGAAACCTAGTGAGAGAAGCTCCCTGGTTCAAGGTGATTTTATTATCATCCATCATTTCAGCACATCTTTTGATATAGTCACGTCTACACCAGATCCGGAGGTCATGCCACACAGTCCCATTACTAGGTCAAGGGCCAAACAATTCAAGGAAGTTCTCTTAACTAAGTGTCTTGAAGCTTTTGATTCATTTGATAACTTAACACTCTCTTATGTTATGTTATATAATGTTTTAATAGCTAAAGAATAACTTAGTATGAACACATCTTACACATTGTTAATTTTAATATGTTAAGCATGTTAGGATAGTTTTATTATCATATTAAGCATGATTATTATATACATCAAGGCAGCATACTTATAATGCATTTCATTAGTTTATTTGCATTCATATTAACTCTTAGGCTTTATACATTATCTTACACATATTAGGAGATGATGTACTTAGTTCATGACCATCATACTTAGCTCACATCACCATAAACAAACATGGCAGCAAGGTATTTAGCTCGTTTTAGCTCAATATCATGAACTTACCTTGTTTCCTTACACATATAGGTACAATGGAGTGTGATGCACGTTGAGGTAGCTTGGTGAATGATTTGGACGTCATATATAGCTCACAACAGCTCACAAAGTACAAGGCAGCTCATGGAATGCTAAGGGAAGCTCGATTCAGCTGGAGAAGCTTCAGGCTAGCTAAATTTAGCTAGTTGGACTATTTGAAGCTGAGTTGCTAAAAGTGATGACAAAGGTAGCTGAATGTAGCTGAACATGCTGTTATGGAGCTCAAAAGGACTCGGCTAGGAAGATCATTCACAAACAGCCCCATGCTTGCTAGCTAGCTCAACACTCAAGCTAGCTTGGAGGAGACACATGCACGCCTAAGAAGAAGCACATGACCAGCCATCATCCAATGCACATGGGTGCACCACAAGGCTTCCTAGAACACCCATGTGCCGTGCATATGACCAGCCCCCATGTGCCTTGCATGTGAACTCATTTAGGCGCCAAGATGAAGAGCCCTCTCCCTATTCGGCCAAGCATCATCTCCCATCCAAATTGGCGCCAACTTGAGGAGACACAAGAACTATTCGGCCAAGGATCATTTCCCTCCATCTAGGGCCGAACCATCCTTTCTTTTAGCATTTAAATTATGTCTTTATAGGGAGATACATAGGCTGGCCGAATCATCTTGTATTTATTCGGCCATGTCTCTCCATTTCCTATAAATAGGAAAACATTACATCATTTGTTGACACCTTTTTATTCAATTAAAGTGAGATTATTCTCTTCTTAAGTCCTGGTGACTTTTTATCGACTTATCAAGTATTTTATACTTGTGGCGTCAACCCCTTCCTTTCATCTTGATACTTCTGGTTCCTAGTTCATATAACTAGTGGGTCAAAGTACTTAACACCATCCCTTGAAGAAACAATATAAAGATTGGGTCTCTGCTCTATATAGCATTGGTTCTTCTTTGAGATCTCTTCAAGATACTATCCTCACAACCATCCTTTTATTTCATCACCATAACCATAGCCTTATCAACTATCTTCCGCTTCCATTACTCATTATATAAATAGCCTACCAATTCACCATACGTCTACCACCCTTAACCATTCTATTTTTGAGCCATTCACTTTGCAGGTTGTTTTGCTTCCTTCCTAGATCCACAATCATTTGAAAAGGTACAAGTACCTTACATCAAGCGGTAATCAGAGCTTTGGTGGAAGAAGCAACGTGCAACAACAACAAAAAGAAAAATACAAAAAGAAGTGCAAAAGTGAAGTGCAAAGTCAAAGAAAAAGAAAAAAAATCAGCAAAGAAAATTGAAGGACTCAAAAGTCAAAGCACTCAAAAAGCAAAGAAAAGAAAGAAAAGTTGGAAGCACTCATCAACAATTCTCATCACCAAGCATTTTCAAGTAAGCCTTTAAAATTGATTGTGGTGATAGAAGGTTGTGAAGTGACTTGTGTAAGTAACCCTTTCATTCTCTTCTTTCTAATTTCTAAGCCACCTTTTCAATTATATTTGCTTTCCATTCCTACTAACCATTTGCAGCCGACGCCAAACAAGTGATATTACTCGATATAGTCTTGAGTAAAAGTTCATTAGAACTTGAGACAAGAGAATTGAGAGAAAAAGGATGGAGCGTGTGTGAGATCAGAAGAGGACAAGTAAAAGCCATTAAAGTCCTAGAGTGCAAACACGAGCGGATTGAGTGACATCAAGTTTTCTTGGAGTGATTCGTGAGGCTTTGTGAGAGAATATTCTGGTAAGGTCCTACACACATTTCAATTTTTTCCTTATTTGCTAACATGTCTCTTCCATCCAACATTTTTGTAGTCAAAAGGACTTTGAACATTCAAAGTCAAGATGATGAACAAAGAGAAAACATCTTCCATACCAAATGTCACGTGGGAGATAAAATTTGTGTGGTGATCATTGATGGAGGAAGTTGTACCAATGTAGCAAGTACTCACATGGTGGAAAAGTTGGGTCTCAAGACTTCCAAACATCCTCATCCTTACAAACTCCAATGGCTCAACGATGTGGGAGAAGCCAAGGTAACCAAGCAAGTGATTGTACCTTTCTCAATTGGAAGATACAATGATGAAGTCCTTTGTGACGTGGTGCCCATGAGTGCAAGTCACATTATACTAGGACGTCATTGGCAATATGATAAGAAAGCCACCCATGACGGGTTCTCTAACAAGTACTCATTCCAACATCAGGGAAAGAAAATCATATTGGCACCTTTGTTACCAAGCCAAGTTCAGGAATGTCAAGTGACCCTCAAATCACGCATAGAAGAATGAGAGAAAGAAAAGAAGGCCAAAGAGATCCATACTCCAAAGATGAATATCTATGCCAGCAGAGGAGATATTCGGAAACATTTATCAACTAAGAAAGCTCTACTTATACTTATGTATAAGGAAAGTTTTCTTCTTACTAACCCTCCTAAAGGTTTGCCTTCTTCTATTTCTAATCTTTTGCAGGAATTTGAGGATATGTTTCCTGAGGAAATTCCCGATGGATTGCCACCGATTAGAGGAATTGAACATCAAATTGATTTCATTCCTGGAGCTACCATTCCTAATAGACCAGCATATAGGAGCAATCCTGAAGAAACAAATGAATTGCAAAGACAGGTCAAAGAACTCCTAAACAAAGGTTACATTCGAGAAAGCTTAAGTCCATGTGTTGTCCCCGTTTTGTTGGTACCAAAGAAAGATGAAACTTGGAGAATGTGCGTGGATTGTAGAGCAGTGAATCAAATCACTATCAAATATAGGCACCCTATACCTCGGTTGGATGATATGCTCGATGAACTTAGCGGGGCCAATATCTTCTCCAAAATTGATTTGAAAAGTGGCTACCATTAGATAAGAATGAAGGAAGGTGATGAGTGGAAATCTGTGTTCAAGACCAAACAAGGTTTGTATGAATGGTTAGTCATGCCTTTTGGCTTGACTAATGCCCCTAGTACCTTTATGCGTTTAATGAATCATGTCCTTCGGCCTTATATTGGTAAGTTTTGTGTTGTTTACTTTGATGATATCTTGATATACAGTAAGTCATTGAAAGATCATGTTGAACACTTACGATCTATTCTTAGCACTTTGAGAGAAGAGCATTTATATGCTAATCTCAAGAAGTGTGATTTTTGTACTAATCAAGTTACTTTCTTAGGCTTTATTGTAAGTTCACAGGGATTATCAGTGGATCCAGAGAAGATTAAGGCAATACAAGAATGGCCAAAACCGGTTAATGTCAGTCAAGTTCGAAGTTTCCATGGATTAGCCAGTTTTTACAGAAGGTTTGTACCAAACTTTAGTTCCATTGCTGCACCCTTAACAGGGATTATTAAGAAGAATTCAAACTTCTCTTGGGGCAATGAACAAGACAAATCTTTCAACGAACTCAAAGATTGTTTGACAAAGGCCCCATTACTAGCCTTGCCAAACTTTGAGAAAACATTTGAAGTTGAATGTGATGCTTCCGGAATTGGAATTGGTGCTGTTTTAAGTCAAGAAGGAAAACCCATTGCCTATTTTAGTGAAAAACTAAATGGTGCAACTCTGAACTATCCAACATATGACAAAGAGATGTATGCACTCATTCGAG